CTGAGGGTGGGGATCCTGTCTCATCCCCCTCCTCAGCAGGCTGAGACACAACAACAGGAGGAGATTACTCAAATGAGCCACTTGCCTCCACAACCTCAACCTCCTCTGAGGTGCTTTCCAGAGAAGGAGACCTGGGTTTAGGGGAAATTTGAGGGGTGTGGAGCACAAACTCACATCTCCCCTTGTTCCCCAGAATTTCTTTTGCTAGGGCACACAGGTCCCTGCTTGCAGATCCAGCTCCTCCTCTGGCACTGGGAGGCTCATGGTGGGACATGAAATTGGGGTGGAGTAGACTGTAATTCTGGTGCTGGTGGCTCTTTCTGGTGTTGGGGAAGGTGGTGCCAGTGCAGGGACAGGTACTGCTCCCACCTCCTTGCTTCCACTGGCAGCAGAAGACTCATTGCTGCCAGGAAAGAGGGTGCATCTATGTTTTGGGCTGGGGAAACTTCAGCTCTTCCCCTACCCCCTCTAGCCCCTCCCCATCCCCTGCCAGAAGACCTGGCACCTGCCTTTCCAGCACACTTCATATTAATTTTTGCTCTGCTGGAAAATGTGTCTCTGTGTGTTTGCAGCTGTAATATATCTTCTTGTTCTGTGTGTAACTAATATCTCTTCTTCTCTCATTACTGTATGTGTCTGACTACTATCTTGTCTTCTCTGTTGTTTTTACTGTATGTCTGTGTAATTCATAATATTAATATGTGTTCGTAATTAATAATATTAATATCTCTTCTTCCTCTCTGATTATTCTATGTGTCTAATATCTCTCTTTCTCTGTGTACTGTATTGTAAGTGTGTGTAATGTATGTGCTTTCCTGTACAGTGATGGGGAAAGTGTGGGGAAAGAAACATAACAAGAACAAATAAGAGGACTTTGGGGGCAGAATAAGTTGGAAGAAATGGATTGGATAGGGATAAATAGAGAGATTCTAAGGAAGGGTAATTAGTAAGCTGTATCCAATCCTTTCCAAGAACAGAAACTAGCAGGAAACTGACTAGGAATCCAAACTAGTCCAGCAGTACCTTTCAGACACTGTTGCTCAGGCAGAAACAGCTCACAAAAGGGACAGAAAGGCTGCAAACCTATATACTGTTTCTACAGCCCTCCCCCAGAGCACTGTGATTGGAAGGGGACTCAGGGGAAGATCACAGTCACGGGCCAGCTACAGATGTTAGTCTTTCACCCCTGCTCCCCCTCCCTCTTCTCAGTTCCTGTTCCCCTGAAAGACTGCCTTCCAAATCTCTGAATCTGTGAATCATTTCCAAATCTTTTCTGAATCAATTTGGAGGCTCTGAATCAATTCAGAGGGTTTTTTTTTAGGTCTCCCAATTTGATTTGGATTCAATGATTCAGCCTCTGAATCAGGCCAAATCTTTTCCAAATTGAATCGGCAACTGAAGCTTCGGACACCCCTAATAAACATGAGCTAAATTCTCCCACCTGCTGCACATTATCATGAGGAGCAAAAAAAAGAGTTGTCCCAAGTGTTCTCAATGTACAGAAAAAGTTGGAATGCTCTTCCCTGCTTTCTTGATACTTTCATGGAAAGTTCTCCTCTGTGTAGTTTGAACTCCTTGGGTTTTACAGGTTGCAAACAGACATCACATTTATCCCAGGCTAAATCACTTAATTCTAAGACAAACTTCAATCTACACAGACATCCATATCTGTTGTCCTGAGATAAATCCTAAAAAAATGTTTCCCAGGTAAGAGGTAGTAACAGTACATTCTAGGATATTGCAAAGTAGGTCCAGACAGTTTTCCTGGGATCGCATTATGGAATGGATGGCAGGAAAGCAGCAGCACAATCAGCCACTTACTGAACCCTGTTTAGAAGGGTGATGTGTGTACATGCCAATCCCAGGATATTTTTGTTCTGGGATAGACATAGGCATAATTTATCCAGGAAAATATGCAGCATTTGTTCTTAGCCATAGTGGATTTTAGTTTGCAAATTGTGAAACTGAGAGTAACCATTGTGTTTTCCATGCTTTTTTGAAAGCCTGCAGATGTCTAAGTAAAAAACCAAAATAATACAGTTTAATTATAATATTAACCCTACCACTTTAAATTGTCACATTTCACAAAGTGGATGGGAATGTTTCTGTTGTGGAAGGGACAATGTCCAGCATGAGAAGAGGATTTTTACAACTGGAACTTATACATTCGATCATCAGGGATCTGGGTTTTCTGCCTACTTTGGAAAAATGTGGATTTTCTCTTTAAAGGAGAAAAACACAGGAAACTGGGTTTCCCCTTGCAGACTATCAGAGTTCTAGCTGGAAAGGGGCTATTTGGGGCTAGGAGGAGCAGGACTCAGTAGGTACCACATGCATGTGCGTGTATACACACATGCATGTGGCCAGCAATACAGCTAGGCAGTGGTGGAGAGCAGCTCCCCCAGCTACCTGCAGATAAGTCTATGAGAGTATTGGGGGGGGGCATAGGCAATGGAGGGGCAGGTAGGAGGACAGACTGATGCCCCCCACAATGAGGGAGGGAGTGGGACAGGGTTAGCAGCTGGGGCTGGGGGGCCAATGTTCCCTCTAAGGTGTAGCAATCCATGAGCATGACACTTTGGTCCATGAGTGTGCTGCTTCAGTCTGTGAGCACGCCGCTTCGGTCTGTTCCTGAATTCATAAAACTTGGTGACTGAGGATGGGATTCTCTGCCAAGAATGCCTGAATACCTTTCTATAATGATTTTAGTTCCTTGTAAATAAAAAGCATATACCATCTTTAACCCAGTTCTGATGTGGCCTCAATTTAGCAGTAAAAAGTAACTTCCTTGGATACAAAAAATAAGTTATAAATGAAACTGAATTAAGCTGAAATCCAGTAACTTAACTGAGAAGATACAAGCAGGGCACCAGCCCTAGGAACCGTATTTAGAGTGAGGGTCAGAATCACCCTCCCTGCCCCTGCACCATGGAAACCTTTACCATAGTAGGAATAGCTCTGTGCTGCATGGCCATAGGAGCAGGGGAGGCATTGGGACTCAGGGCGAAGCTCACCCGAAGTGGCTAGGGAGTGGAGCAGTTACCCATACCCGGCAGAGCCCATGCAGTACCTGGCTCTGGCCCAGCCCCAGTCCCGGCCTCTCCCCCAGCCCCTGTCCCTGCCCCCGCCCCTGTCCCCACCTTGGCTCAGGGAGGACCTGCTGCCTGGCCTACACCACTCTCCTTCCCTGTGGAGATTCTGGTGCAGTGAGGAGTGGAGCAGAGGAGTGAGGAGCAGAGATGGTAAGTGTCCCACAGTGGCCTACTGTGCTTTTGCCGCACTCCATGACCAAAGTTTTCAGGAAGCCGCAGCCCAGCTCCTCTCCAAGCGAGTGCTACTGTGCAACAATAATTTTTTTTGTGCATGGCCATGCACATGAACAACCTAGAGAGAACCTTTCTGGGGGCGCTGCTTAGCTGGGGTGGGGATCAGGTGGGAGTGCGTGACTGTGGAGCTGGCTGGGGAACAGGATGAATCTACAGGTGGATTGTCCAGAGGGTGGTGAGGGGGCTGGCTCCCCATCACTGTGTGCACTCCCAGGGAAGGGCACATGCCTTCCCACCCCAGATGCTGCCCCACCCCAGATGCCCCCCCCACCCCAGATGTGTGCATGGGATGGGGAAAGATGTGGGCTGCCCACTGTGGGGATCAGAGCTACCTACCCTGCTGCTCTCACCCCAGGGGCTTCTGTGGCCCAGTGGGTGGAACCCTGAATAAGACGGCAGAGAGGCTTGGTGCTGCTGCTGCTGCCACCACCAGGAGCCCTGCATCAGGAGCCCTACCATGCTGAAGTATCCCCTGTCCACTTGGCAGCGCTGGGGTTGGTGGTTGTCACCATAGTAGCATGGCTGGCATGAGGCTCCTGGTGGTAGCAGAGATGGCAGCAGTGGCAACATTGAGCCTCTCTGCCCTCTCATGCCAGGTCCTGCCTACTGGGCAACAGAGGCCCCCAGTAGAGGGCAGCAGAGTGGGAAGCCCTGAGCCCTGCAGTGGGCAGTTCACTTCCTTCCGCCACCCACAGGCTCTGCTCATTTGTGCTCCAGCCATGCTGCCTGCTGGCAGGGGAGGGGGCTGGCCTCCACACTCTGCTCTGTCTGCAGTAGCCACTGCCTCCTGCATATAGCAGCTGGGGCTTGGGCACTGCTGGGAGTGGTGGTGGGGGACAAGGGTCTGTGGGCACAGGCCCTGGTCCTGTAGCTCTGGCAGCTGAGGCTCCCCTCCAGCAGAGCTGGGCAGGAAGCTACATTTGAGAGTGAGGGGCAGTAGTAGGTCTGGGGTTGTGGGGGACTGTAGGTTGGGAGCAAGGGGCATTGTCAGGGCCGGGGGATTGCAGATTGGGAATGAGGGGCGGCAGCAGGGCTGGTGGGGTGGGCTGTGGCTTCGGATTGAGGGGAAACAGCATGGGCAGGGCACCAGCACATAAAGGTGAGTTCTGGCATGGAGAGCTCAGATTTTCCATGATAAAAAAACCAAAATGAAATGCAAATATATATAGGTATTTAGAACTTATTTTAGGGGTGTGTGAACCAGGCCCTATTTGATTAGGATTTGGCGTGAATTTGAAATTCATTGAAATTGCAGAAAAATGTGGATTTGGGGTTTTTAAATCAAAGAATTTTGGAATTTTTTTAATTTGGTTTTTGCAATTTTAGACAAATTAAACCTAGAACCTCGGTGACCACATACTTTCCTTTTCCTTCCTATCCACTAACCTGAGAAACTGCAGCAGAAACAATCTGAGGTGTAATTCTGGCCCAACTAGGGGCAAAAGACCCAGTGACTTCAATAGGAAAGGATGTCACCCATGGAATTGTACGTAGTTTTCTAAACCAAAAGGTTAGTCTATAGGAGGAGAAATTTGTTTCAAGCTTTTGAAGCCTACCTAGGCTGGTTTGGTTTTGTTTTTGAGATTTCTTAGCATGGCAACACTTTTTAAGAGTAGGTAAGTTCCCTCTGTCACTAATCATGTAGACTGAATGTTCCTTTAATTTGGGTCTTACCATGTGCTGTTTTCCCAAGGAAATTTGTTGAAGTTTTGTGTACCAGTATGCTCCATTCAATGGGAACATCACAGGGAGTCACAGTCACTGTGAAAGGAATAGGGGCTCTGTCTTCCCTCAGAATGAAATAGTACCTGAAAATATGGATTACAAACAGACTTTAGATTTTAAGAGACTCAGGTATAGTGAAGACTCCCTGTAGGAAAGGTAATTAGGTTTGCAGACTAAAGAGATAAAAGCTGCATTTCCCTCAAGGTAATAATGACCATTCTACTACAAGGTACATTAAAACACCAGCAGAGAGTATTTCAAGTTTTCTTACATAAGAGTATTACACACTATGCTACTTCCTATCCACAGCTATCCTCTTGGAGTTTTGCCCGTTTACGACTACTAAATAAATAGTCTGTACTCCACCAACTTTTGAGATGCTAGTATTTCAGTGAAACAAATACTAGGGCTTTGATTTTACAGTGTATACATTGTCACTTAGCACAGGAAGTAGGAAATTAACTACCTATTAGGGATCGACTCCCTAGCTAATGAAGTAATAGGCATTTTTTTGCTAGAATTGTATACCAAAGGTTATTTATGTAAGCAAACAGCAAGACGTTCTAAAACAGTGACACAGCAGATAGATTTCATTCTTTCTTCATGGGTCTGAGCAGTTAAGTTTTCATTTGATTAAGATTGATTCAATTGTAAATATTCTGTTTCTAGTGGCTGTCTGGGGTGATTGATAGTGTGAGGACTCTACTTTTCACACTTCTGTTCCTTTATACTATGGGTCTTTCAGAGTGCATGTAGTCTAGGTTGCTGGGGGATTATATGGAGCTTGAAGACTTCTCTAAGATCTACTAGTTACAGAAAACAGCTGGGCAACTAGTGGCTCCACCTTAGGGGGAAGGTAGCTGTGTTCACTAACCAAGAAATGTTCATTATACAGAGGGTCGGCATGCACCTTATCAATTAATTATCAATTAAAGCTCCACATTATCAAAATGATATCAGTCCATTAAATCCTGTTCTTAAATACTTACCACTTCCAGTAATGCCTGATCCCCACTTGCTTCTTTTCTTGTCATTCTCTCAATGTAGTTGGAACATACACAAAGCAGCTTGGACACAGTGGATGTGTTTACACATGACACAGATTGTACAGTTGTTACTGCACAGTCATTTAGTGCTTACATACCCAAGTACTAAATGACTGCAGTAAATTACCACGCAGGAGCATCCTTGCACAGCTTCCTGGTGATGCCGACTGTGCAGTAGCTTGTTACTACTGTGCAGTAGCATCATGTCATGGTTCATGCATTACAATGCTACTGTGCAGTAGTAATGAGCTACCGCTCAGTAAACATCTTATGTAGATGTGGCCAGTATGATCCTACTCCCAACTCTATTTTGTGGGTGGATAGGAGCATCTCAGAGAATTTGCTTATTTTCAGGGCATTGATCCCAAGCCAGAATCAAGGTGATTTTGGTGACTTTAATTGAGAATTTCCACATTTTCAAAAATCCAGTATTTGTTAAATTTAACTCTGGTTTCTGAATTTCAGGTTCTTGTGACATTTTCAGTGGTTGAGGTTATAGTACATCAGGAGTGGTCAACCTTTCTTCTATTGAGCCAGATCTGGCTCATGGAGCTGTCTCATCATTTTGGTGCACGGGGCCAGGTGGAAGTGGTATAAGTCCTGATCATGGCACATGGGGTCTGTTATTTCCTGCAGACTGGCCCCCTGCTACTCATTTGGCCTGTGGGGTCAAAATATTGAGCACTATGGCAATATATATATACTTCATTTAAACCAAGGCTTTTTTTGTTTGGTTTTTTCAGGTAATTGATATGTTCTTGCTAAAACATTTTATCTTTTATTTTAATTTCTTTTTTCCCTTTAACTACTAGACTTCTTAGGTTTGCTTTGGAGAAAATGATTATATTATATATTGTGTTCACTCATTTTCTCTCTGCACAATGCTGACAGCTGAACCATCTGTTTTACCCTCTGCATTTGTGACCATTTTGGTAGAATGTACCAAAATGAATCAAATCTATGCATGCTAATACAACTGATTCAATTCCAATGAGCATTTGACTACTTCTGGTTTTGAGGAATCTCTCTACACACAGAGAGATCTCTCTGTCTTTGCTATTTATAGAGTGCTACTCACTGTAAAAAGGGCCCTTCTAAGTCAAGAGACCTATAGAGCTAGTATAATTAGGGCATGCCAGTTTCAGCAGTCAGTGGCAGACAAAAGAATGTGGCTAGCAGCCTCTTCAATTACTTTTGTCCCTCCTTTAGCCTGAATGAGGATGTGCACATTTAGAACATGGGCCAGACTTTAGCCTGAGACCAGACAAGGGCATGAGCTTGTACCTCTGGCACTACGGTAAGATGCCTTCATTGCTCTGCCATTACCTCCCACTATAATAGTTAGGAATATCTAGATCTATATATTTGGCTACAAGTGAAGTTGACCTTCCATGGAAGTTCTACAACAAAAATACTTTTAATATGAGGAAGATTTAGAACTGCTCATCGAATACAAATACAGCAGGTGCATCTACACATGCATCTTTACTGCTCAGTAACTTAGGTTACTGTGCAGTAATCAAAAATGACTGCTCAGTACGGGCACATGTCTACACGTGTGCATCCATACTGCGCGTTAACTATGGTGACTTAAGCTGACTTGGGCATAAATTTGCTACCTGCATGATGCAGGTAGAAAATTTATGCTCGAGTAGTTTCTGCACAGTAAGGCACCTGTAGACACTTTGCTGGACAGTAACCCTGTTTGTGTGGACTGACTTGGGACAAAATTTGGTCCCAAGTAAGTCCATGCACAGCATTGCTGCACTGTCATTTCTGCACATCTAGACACCGGCATAAAAGCCACTTACTGTGCAGTAGGCCTGTGCGAGGTGGCTAGCATTCACTTTGGATTCGGATTTGTCTGATTTGGGGGACAGTGATTCGATTCGTTAATGGCTGCCCTGCCCGCCCAAGCTCCTGGCACTTGTTAACAAAAAGCAGGTGCTGCTGGATGCGGGGCAATCTCCACTGACCCCAATGCCCCATGCATTTTGAAGATCTAAACATACATTCTATTGATATGGCAGGTACTTTAGTGAGGAAAATATTTGAAGCTTATACTAGATTTATTGAGGTCCTTTTCCTCTTATAGTTTTGGAGATTAACTGATTGTGATATACTTTGAGTATGGCACTATAGCTCTGCATTTTTGTAATCTAATAATAAACTCAGTGGTAATTATATTAAATAGGTCTGGCAGAGAACCAGGTAGGAAATAACTATAACATTCATGTGTGTAGCTGAAGTTTATTTTCAAGAAAATACTCCATATTCTAACTGTTTTTAACTGGTAAAGGTAAGATGGAGGAACACATATTGGAAGAAAGAAGATTTAGAAGGCAGTACCCTGAGCCAAGAATGCACAGCTAGAGCCTTGTGGGTAGTGGGTATTTATGAATTCTCAGCAGTAGCCTGCCTCCTGTGGGCAGAAAATGAAAGAGAATATGACAATTTCTATGTATTCATTTCCTCTTACCTTTTAGGTATGTCCTTCAACAAGTGGATTGTTGTTTCTTTGCCATCTGCAAGAATCAGGGAATGATAAAAGTTGAAGAGACCATTTTTGAAGCTGTGTTGGGAACCAGCAGGCACATTTTTCAAATGACACAAAGAGACAGCTATGAGAAACTGAAGAAGCAGATAAATCCAGACTCTGGACACCTTCAGCAGCATCTTCTGTAGGATGAAAAAGTTTATAATCACTATTACTTTCAGTGGAAAAAAAAGGAGCAAACCCCACACATCTCTTTTTGTGGAATTTACTTTGCTAAAAATAATTATAATCAGAAACTGTAAACATTCACCACAATGCAGAAAGTAACCAATCTGTACTTTGCTGAATTACTGTATGTTCACTAAGAAACATCTTAGTCTTTGACCCATCTCTCAGCAAAGATTAATAGCAGAGGCTGCAGTGATGTCCCACAGTACCAAATATATGAAAAATATTGTGATACACAGCACAAGCACAAGCATAATTGAAGTAGAGAATTATAAATAAAATTAAATGACAATTGAACAAATGAATGCCCTGGCTTATTCACTGTATTTGCTTGCCTGCTGATTTTCAAGATTCAGTTATAAATGCAGGGGGATCCACCAGTCAGAAATTAGTCAGTCTCTTAAAGAGTATCACTAATTAATGTTGTTTCCATTGGGTTTTGGTACTTTTATTCTATCATATCAATGGTAAATTCATCAGAATAACAAGTATGTTTACTGAAAATAGAGAAAATTGTACAAAACAGAGTAAAAGTATGAGTAGTGGAGAATGGGCAATCTCAGGTTAGAGAAACCAAGCTGGAACTTGGTAGATTTTAAATTCTCTGCATGTTTTATTTAGGGAAAGGCCATATAAATGATGGTTGGACAAATAATTTTGAAATTACATCACTCTGTGTTCCATTCCTTCCACATGTTCTCAGGGATGTTTCTAACCCATCGCTGCAGTCTTCTCTCTGTCAGACTCTCCCCTTTTCACTCTTTTCAGAACTTTATTTTAATATTTTCTCCCTTGCCAAGACATTTTATTATCAGCATGGAATCTAGACAAGGAATGTGTGACGCTTAAACAGTTACAGCAAAGAATCTGGAAATGCAGATGCTATTAAAAATGTGTTACATATATTGCACAGACCTATATGAATAAAAGAATCAGGTAAGCACTGGAATGTTTTTGTTTGTTTTAAGATTGTTTGTTATCCTTGCAGTCTTTACACATCTGCCTCATATTAATCTTCAACAGTAGAGAGAATTGCTGAATCAGGAAGGGGAACACTGCGTTTTCAAAACTGATGCCAATTGCAGCTCAGTTGGTTAGCAGGCAGAGGGTGCTCAGAGGGCAATATGTTTGGGGTTTTTTTAGAAATAGATAACTTCTTGCATTTTGTAAGTAACAGAAGAGAGTAAAGCCTTTGCAAATGTGGCTATCATCCACTGGTAGAGGAGAACATAACAGAAGACTAATACATGAAATTATGAATCCAGGATTTATAATCTGCCAAATTTTGGGGACAGATACTTTCCTTTTGCAGCCTGTAAATGTATTAAGACAAACTCAGCAAGTCTATGACTAAACATAATTACTGCTCATTAAGAACAATATTTATAATTTTTTTTTAAAAGAACAGCTTCTTCAGAATGTCATCTACATTTAGATTTTTATAATTTAATTCACCCACTAAATTTACCTGTGAATTATGATGTGTAAAACTTGTTTTTCTAGGTGATTTCCCAAATAACTAGTGTCTCTCTGTGGCTGATAATACTACAGAACATCCTAGTTAACATCCTAAAAAAATGTTAGACAATCTTCTTCCATTCTGTTTTAAATATGTTTTGGTTACATTTATAACAACTGATTAAATAGACTATAAAATAACTATTATTACAAGTCAAGTAATAGTTGAAAATATTATTCTTTATTTTGATTAGTAGTATAAATCCTTTCGCAGAGCTTTTGCTAAGACTTGTGCCCTTTCTTTACCATTTTTGTCATTCTCTCTTTCTAAATACAGCTTATAGACTCAAAACAAAATCCTTAAATTATTTTTTCATTGCTTTTTAAACTATGACATCCAAGTTGCCCTGCACTTCAGTTTCTGCCCTTGTGGCTTTTTAAATGGCAGCACTTTGCAAACAACATTTACATAGCAGTGGCACAATTTTCTTGTCCAGGGGAGGAAGAAATAGATGATCATCTTATCCCTAACAAAGCATCAAACTAAGGGCTCATTTTTCTTGACATTTCTCTGATTTTTGGAGAGACATTAAAAAAAAATTTAGAAAGAAGCAAACTGAAATTGCTCTTACCTATTTTGCTTATTCTCTCCAGGCATCTGACTTCTTTTGCAGAAATAAAAATAACACAAAACCACACAAATCTCTCAAGTGTCTTCAGATAGATGAAAACCAAAACAGTGAAACCACTTTAAGAGGAGAAAACTGATTTTTCCTTATCACTTCTTAATAGATGTTTAATTTAAACATCTTTAGACTTTCAAAAAAGGAAAAGTTAATTTTTATTGTAAAGCAAACAAAAAAACTATAATTTTGAATCTTCAAAGTCTTAGTTACATTGTCAGTTCTAGGATTTCTGGGGGTGGGGAACGGATTCATGTGTTCCTTCTCCAAAAGCAAAACCTTACTCCCTGCACAAGGTGTCAGCCAGACTGCTACAGCAGCCTAATCCCATTGGTGGCTGGCCAGAGAGCGGTCTTTGACAGAAGTACACAGGGAGGAGGAGGTGACAGAAAGAGAAACAGAGAAAGAGCGGAGTGAATACATTAACCCTTTTCAGTCTATTATATTAGCCAGCAATGGGGCACAGATATTTCTGTGTGGAAATTGTAGGTTTGGATTAATAACTCTATGTTGCTTCCCCACTGATCCTTGAACATTACCACCAATTGTCTTTCAAGCTGTATTTTCACATGCCTCCATAGAAACTGGAGATGGAATGTGCAGTTCCCGAGATCTCTGGTATCCATAGAATGAAGAAGTGTCATATTATCTCAGGTATACTGTGTACATAGGTGGAGGGAGAAAATATTATTTGGTGGGCAAGGTACACACACACACATAACCCCCCCCCCCCCCCACCCAAACAGGTAAGTCTCTAAAGGGGAAGGGGTAGTGGGGAGGGAAGGGTCAGTGGGGTAGCAGATTCATAGATTCATAGATGTTAGGGTCGGAAGGGACCTCAATAGGTCATCGAGTCCGACCCCCTGCATAAGCAGGAAAGAGGGCCCAGCCAGATACCCATCTAACCTCCTCTTGAAGACCCCCAGGGTAGGGGAGAGTACCACCTCCCTTTGGAGCCCATTCCAGATTTTGGCCACTCCAACTGCGAAGAAGTTCCTCCTAATGTCCAGTCTAAATCTGCTCTTTGTTAGCTTATGGCCATTATTTCTTGTAACCCCCAGTGGCGCCTTGGTGAGTAAAGCCTCACCAATTCCCTTGTGTGCCCCCGTGATGAATTTATAGGCAGCCACAAGGTCGCCTCTCAACCTTCTTTTGCAGAGGCTGGAGAGGGCCCG